AGTTTGTCCATTTCTCTCTTCCTCTTTGATGAAGGTATACTTCCTAAACAACTTTGGATTTTACAAGATTAAGCATATTATTAAACACTATGTTTATGCACATACAACTATTGCCTTCAATTTACTGATTATTTGAAGATATTTATCTTCAGTCATTAAAATAAATCCCGTCACTTCTCCAGGAATTTCTATTTTCTCTAAACAGCTGCTTACACATGGAAGGGAATCCAATGGTAATTTAACTGGTCAAAAATTCAACTGTGTTTTCCATTACTGCTTACCCTATAATCCAAAAATCAAAAGCATTTTTTTAATTAAGACTCTCTTGAATTTACTCTGCATTTTCTTCAGCATAAATAAAATGACTGTGATTTAGAAGTGTCACTATATTCAAGAAGATCAGTTAGCATACTAGTGCCCGGACACAATTCCCGGCTGTTCTTATGTTCTTCCCACAGTAGTAGGTAACAGCTTTGCTCTATTAAACAAGGATAAAGACAACATGAATCTCTGTGGAAGCTTCCAGTTTGTTCTCCAGTGCTCTGTCATATGACTACAAAGTGATATGAAGAGAGTGCTTGGCACCACTGAGAAAAGAATAAAGACAAAGACACCCCAAAGTAAAATCTTCAACCAAAGACATTTAAGTTAGTGGCACGAGCGGAACCAAAACAAGCCTACCATTTCATATACATTGTGCATGATGTCATTCAGCATTCTAATATGTTTGAAAAATATGGCCCTGTGCTCTCCAAGCTCTTAAGGTAGTGGTTCTGTAGTTTCAGTTGCCAGTATGTTCTCTTCTGTGATTAAGATATAAGATGATTGATTTCTCCCTTAAACAAATGCTGGTTAGGGCTTAGTCTAGGATAAAATGCTATTCATGGTTGTAATCTAGACTAAAGCTCCTTACATAGACCATACACTTCAATTAAATGCTTCTAACCTTCTGCATAACACTTAAAATGGAAAGAGTTTTGGTTTCTAGGTCAGCTTTAGATTTAGAGTGTATTTGCGGCCACAGAGCTATAAAAAGGTAGGTTTTAGTTTGATTCAAGCGCTTTGCCTTTTATACCGTAAAAATAGCATAGGAATGAAATGTACATAGTTTCCAACTATCATAATAAAAGCATGAGCAGGTATAGTATTTGTCCTTTGACACACTTTACTGTTAAGATGGTGCAAAATAATAGGTTAAGAAAAACAATGGCAAAGTGGGCAAAGTACAGGAAGCGGTAGTACTGAACGACCCAATTCTGAGTGGAAACAACACCACACAGTACAGCAAAGGCAGACTGACGCATTTTCCAGGCAAGATCATGACAAAGAGATTCTCAACTTATATTATTTTATTCTATAATTTATATTGCTTCACTAATAGAAAAAAAAATTTCCTTATTTGTCACTTGGTTTAGTTTCTTATTTACTAGGGAGATGACTTCAGAAACCAGAGACAAGACACCGCTATCATTTTTTTTTACATTTTAAAATTAGAACTAAAGAGATAAAATGCAAATCTTATGTGCTTGTCATCCGCATATATCAAACAGACTTTGTAAACAGGACTTAAAAGGAAGCAAGTACCTATTCGACATTATCCTGCCTGGACTAGCATTGGTGAAAACATTGATGAGTACACTCAATTTTTTTTTAGTATTCAAAAAGGTTAACTCTTGGACACCAAGTATCTTTAAGTATCTCAAAAAGGGATTATAACAAAAGAAAAATTAATTGAGAATTTTGCAAAATATATCTATGTCACACAATATCCTTTTGAGGCAAGGGGACTGCAGGCATGCAGCTTGCTCAAATGCTAAAGGATAGTTTCTGTTCCCAAAAGACCAGCAAATAAAGGAACTGGTTGACTTTGGGTGCTGTGATGGTTAATATGCATCAACTTGGCTAAGCTAAGGTGCCTAGTTATTTGGTCACACACTAGTCTAGTTGCTGTTAAGCAGTAGTACATGTAACGGATCACAACTACTCCGGCCTCCACCAGACTGAGTCCAGTACAACTAGACGGTGTCCGGCTACCACTACCAACTGCTCTGACAGGGATCATAATAGAGGGTCCTAGACAGAGCTGGAGAAAAATGTAGAACAAAATTCCAACTCACAAAAAAAGACCAGACACGCTGACCTGAGAGACTAGAGAAACCTCGAGAGTATAGTCCCTGGACACCCCTTCAGCACAGTAATGAGGTCACTCCCGAGGTTCACCCTTCAGCCAAAGACTAGACAGGCCCAAAAAACAAAATGAGACTAAAAGGGCACACCAGCCCAGGGGCAAGGACTAGAAGGCAGGAGGGGACAGGAAAGCTGGTAATAGGGACCCCAAGGTCGAGAACGGAGTGTTGACATGTCGTAGGGTTGTTAACCAATGTTATACAACAATATGTGCACTAATTGTTTAATGAAAAGCTAGTTTGTTCTGTAAACCTTCATCTAAAGTACAGAAAAATAATAACAATCTGGTACACAGACACAAAAAGAAGTAGTACATGTGATTAAATCAGTTAGCTTTGAGTAGAGCAGATTACCTTCCATAATGTAGGTGGGCCTCAACCAATCAGTTCAAAGGCTTAAGAGCAAAAGGGGCGTTTTCCCTAGGGTGTATTCTGCCTCCAGATTATAAATAGACATGTTGCCAGAACCCTTCACTTTTCCCATTGCTTGACCTCTGGATTTTGGAACACAAGACTGCACAATATTTAGCCTGTCCCTTGAGCTACAGATTTTGGACTTGCCCGCACTCCCACAGTCATGTAAGCGAATTCTTTACATTAAATTTCTCCGTCTCTGTCTCTCTGTCTCTCTCTGTATGGTGCTGTTGTTTTCAGGCGCCGCAGAGTTAGTTCTAACTCTAGTGACAACAGAACAAAACACTGTCCGGTCCTGCACCATCCTCACAATCGTTGCTATGTTTGAGCCTGTTGTTGCAGCCACTGTGTCAATCCATCGTGTTGGGGGTCTTCCTCTTTTTGCTAACCCTCTACTTTATCAAGCAGGATGTCCTTCTCCAGGACTGGTCCCTCCTGGTAACATGTCCCAAGTACGTAAGATGAAGTCTCACTGTTCTAGTGGCTAAAAAGCATTCTGGCTGTATTTCTTCTAAGACAGATTTGTTCATTCTTTTGGCAGTCCGTGGTATACTTTTATATATATATATATATGTGTATATACATACATATGTACATATACACTTACATATCCATATATATACACACGTATGTATCTTACTGGCTCAGTTTCTCTGGAGGATCCTGACTAAAACAGTAAGACAGGTGCTTACTAAGAAACCTTTTAAAGAGTTTCACTTTCACATTCACTTTGGACGCTGAGGTGACAGGAATTAGTCAGAGTTACAAGAAAAAGTGATGGTCCTTATAGATTCTGGAATTAGAAAAAAGGGTGAGACACTTGAACAACCATAGATGCAAATGTCTCAACTGAAAGGTTCTAAAAAGACTTGCATTTGGAGCTAGTATCACTTGATCTTTTCCAAAACATCTGGAAGAGGGTGAATAGTAAACCCTATGTGGTATGTGGCAGCTGTGGTTTCCACGTTAGTTATCAGGATACAGGGAAGGACTGAGATGACATTTGTCAAGTACTTTCTAAGGAGAGCAACCTCCTAGGCTACTGTAGGCAAAAAGACTGACGGACTGCTGACTGTTGAACATGAGCTCCCAATTGCCTTTAATATGCTATGTGTGGGGGACTTACTATTGGGAAAGGATGAATGGAAAGTACCTTCCTTCATGAATCTTTAAGGGAAACTAGGTATATATGAAGGAGCCCCGGTGGTGCAGTGGTTAAAGCACTTGGCTGCTAATTGAACAGTTGGCGCTTTGAACCTACCAGCAGCTCCGCGGAAGAAAGATGTGACAGTCGGGTTCCCTAAAGGTTACAGCCTTGGGAACCCTATAGGGCAGTTCTACTCTATCCTATAGGGTCACTGTGACTCAGAATCAACTGGGCGGGAATGGGTTTGGTTTGTTTAGGTATATCTGAAGGAGCCCTGGTGGTGCAGCAGTTAAGCGCTCAGCTGCTAACAGAAAGGTCAGAGGTTTGAACCCACCAGCAGCTCTGCAGGAGAAAAGACATGGCAATCTGCTCTTGTCAAGATTAAAACCCACTGCCGTTGAGTCGATTCCAACTCATAGCGACCCCATAGGGCAGAGTAGAATTGCCCCATAGGGTTTCCAAGGAGCGGCTGGTGGATTCAAACTGCCGACCTTTTGGTTAGCAGCCAAGCTCTGTCAACACTATGCCACCAGAGCTCCTCTGTAAAGATTACAGCCTAGCAAACTCTATCAGTTCTACTCTGTCCAAGAGGGTTGGGATGAGTCAGAATGGATTCGGTGGCACCCACCACCAACAAAGGTATATTTGGAGAGTAACCCACATCTTTCAGGGGCAACCATTCCCTTCTGGAAAACATTCCTTAATGCAATTGTGAGAGACGGATTACCAAGTAGTCCACCAATTAGATGCACCTGATATTTCCAGTGTGCTTAATTTATATGAATCATCATCTTGCCAACTTCTAATCTTCAGATGTCCCCAGTGAATACCCAGATTTATCTAAAACAAATGAACTTTCCCCCTCCCTTAAAGAAAAAAATAATGTTCATTCATTAACATTAGTAACCATCAGTAAAATGGACAACACCAATTTACTTTGTCTAGGTAAACACCAAATACATTACTAAGTCTTCCATCTAGGGCAGATGCGAGAAGGCAGGGAGATATGCTCTTGTGTTGTATAGTGTCAAGGGTATTGTGTGTCTGAGTATGGTGAGTGAGTGTCTTTGTGCATGGTGAGTGTGTGTGTGCACGTGCATGGTATCTATACGTGAAACAGTAAGAGCGAGCTATGCCTGAAATTTTAAGTAACTATTTTCATAGATGGCTTACAACCTAGCTAAAACTATATTTTCATGCACATACTTAAACCCATGAAAATAAAGGAATGAATAATATCTGCATTTCCTTACCTTCTATCGCTGATAGGAGAACCCGGGAATGATCATATGCGATTACGTTTGCGTATCTATTCTTTGGTTTGTTTACTTCCAAGTTTGAATGTTCCCATGTGAACTGCTGGCCAGGGTCAATTGACTTTAAAAAGAAAAACAGCACACACACACACAATCAATACTAAGTTACGCCAGGTTATAGGTATTTATCCCAAGTAAGAAACATGATTTAAAAAGCATATTCTGAAGCCATGCTTCATCATGATGATCCTGGCTGTGAAGCTGAACATTAATATAACCAGCATAACGTGAAATGATTAATCATAGTAAGAAACAGTGATAGTCATCAACATTGATTCAAATGGGAAAGTAAAATCAATAAAGATGTTCTGTTATTATTGGAAGGGCAGGTTTTTATCTTTTGCTTTTCCATTTTCCTCTCTGCTGCTGTCGTTTACAAGTTATCTCAGTTCTATAACCCTCTCAGTTCTGTGAACATTATTTTATCTTGATTACTCTTGCCTATTTTTTGCTACCTAGACCTAACTAGTCACCTGAGTCTTTTTAAGTTGACTGGTCTTTCACTGGCTTCCCTGGGCACTGGTTTTACTTTTTTCTCTTCACCTACATGTTCGCTTATTGATGGCAATTTAAGACTTCACCTCTTCCACTACAACACGCCACGACCATATCACAAGGCAATCTGTGCCATTCGATCAGTTAAAAATAACAGTAAAGAAACAGTAAAGTCAGTTGAGTCTAATAATCATCCTAGAACGGTAATAATTCAGTGCACATAGGGTCTAATTGTTTTTCTACTTTTCATTGTGTTTTCTATTTATTACTATTATGTGTTATTATTATGTTTATGTTGTTGGTATTGCATGCCATCGACTCGATTCTAATTCACAAAGACCATATATGACAGGGTAGAATTGCCCCATAGGGTTTCCTTGGATATAGTCTTCAAGGCGGAGCACTGGTGGCACAGTGGTTAAGAGCTCAGCTGTTAACCAAAAGGTCATCAGTTCAAATCCACCTAGTCGCTCCTTGGAAACCCTATGGGGCAGTTCTCCTCTGTCCTGTAGGGTCGCTGTGAGTCGAAATCGACTCGACCTTTCAATTAGCAGCTGAGTGCTTGATCACTGTGCCATCAGAGCTCCTTATTATGTTTATAGACTTTGTTTTTATAACTTATTTTAAACTTATTTTTTCTGACTTCTGATGCCCTCATTTGATACTTCAGTTCAACCAAAATTATTCAACAATCTAAAACAAATATTGCACAGATATAAAATAACATATACATTCATTTTTATAGCTAAGTAGAACCATTATTTTGAGGACTAATTCAAGGCTTTGCTTATAAAACTGTATGGGACTTTTTAATTTCCTGCGATGTTACAGAAATAAAAACACCTTTTTTTCCTCCCCATCATAGGATACTGACATCCTTTCAAGAGTTATAATTTTATGGTATATGGAAACATGAGTTCAGTAATTACAGAAACATGATTTTAAATGATCAAAATGAAGTTATCAGAAACAATTAATGATAAATTAGTTCTATGTATAGGTGGAATTAAAAGAGAATAAAGGGACACTTCATATGTTACTAGACTTTTTAGCAGTTATTTTTGATGCTGGGTATCATATCCATGCTTTTATGTGTATATGTAAAATTTGAAAGTAAAACATCTCCAACAGCTATTACAATATTAAAGATGTGTATACTTTCTCTTAGAAGGGACAGAGTTCAGCACGGCAGTAAAACTCACTAGTGTAAAAAGTCAAGTCTATTAACAGTCTATAGAATAGCTTCCAAACATACTAAAATCTCAGCAGTACACATTGCTGTCTCTGATTTGATACGGACTGTAAAACCTTTCTCGGTTCTTAACCTATATATAAAATAGTCAGTCATTGAGCAGCACTCAGCAAAATAACTGTACATGCTTTAAAGTCTAAAGCATAACATAATTAGGGGTTTTCCTCAGTTTTTGCCTCCATGGAAGCTCATCACCGCCCTGCAGAATGTACTGTTCTCCAAGTATTCCCTGAGCTAAAGGCAGTCATAACATTCAAACGCCCAGGATGGAAGTCTTCAAGTCAATCTTGACCTTCTCCACTCAGTGTAGCTCCACTCTGACCAAGACCTGCCTTCAATGTCTCAAATCAGTCCCAGATCTATAATCTCACTCCCACTCTCCAAACCCAGATCTTTATCATCTGTTGCCTGACTGGACTCCCTCCTATCATCTCTCCCTACTATAATCTATTCTTCATACTGCTGCCCAAATCGTCTTTCTAAAGCACTGTACAGGTTAGGTCCCTGGTTAAGACCTTCCACTAGTTCTGTGTGAACTACAGATTAAAATCTAAATTCCTTAACTCCTTAGCTATAGCCCTACCTATACAGCTTTAGTCATCTTTACATCTCTACTAGTCCCGGCTCCAGGCAATGGTGGTTCAGTGGTAGAATTCTCACCTTTCATGTGGGAGACATGGGTTTGACTCCCAGCCAGTGCAGCTCAGCCCACGCACTATTTGTCTGTCAGTGGAGGTATGTGTGTTGTTGTGATGGTAAACAGGTTTCATTGGAGCTTCCAGACTAAGACAGACTAGGAAGAAAGGCCTGGTGATCTGCTTCCAAATATCAACCTATGAAAACCCCATGGATCACAACAGTCTGATCCTGTTATGTATGGGGTTGCCATAAGTCGTAGCTGACTCCACCACCGCTAACAACAATACCTGGCTCAAAAAATGGTTCAACGGATACTTATTAAATGAATGAGTGAATGGATGAATGAAATGCTGTTTAAAGAACTTCATAAAGAACCATCATGATGTAATTCCTCTATATAACAAGGGAGTTAGAGAATAAACCATGGCAGCTCCAATGCACAGTGTACCAAAACTTTATCACTTCACACCCATTAACATATGGCTTAGTAATTAAGTGTACAATCCTGAAATTATAATTACCACTGATATTCTACTTTACACTTGAGCATTACTGGGTACATACGCTTCTTACACATCACTCTCTAAAATATCCCAAGAAGCTACTAAGCTCACTGATGTACAGTGTTTTGGTTGGAAGATATGACTCCCTCTGATGGCCTTGTTTTACTCAGAGTATGCTCACCCACAGATGTATAAAACGGCCAGTATTTAATTAGAGTAATGGAACTGCATCTTTCAACTCAAGGACATCGTTAACTCCTGTCCATTTCTGTTCTTGTCTCATGTTCTCAGCCTTCTTCATGATTTATCTGGTACTTACATCGAAGAGTTTCAAAACCGCTAATGGAAACCTGAGTTGTATGACACATATGTTAACAGGCTTACGCAGAAAGTGTGGTCCCTGAGAAGAAGACCTGTAAGTAACGGGATAATTACAATAAAAGCTGCCAGGTCATTATGCTTTACATGCAGTAACATGTTCCATTTTCACAGCTGTTACAAGGTAGGTATTGTTGTTTTCTCCATTTTGCGGGGTAGGAAACTGAAGTAAAGAAAGATTAAGTTCTTAATTCAATAAATTGCACCAAGGGCTCTCTACGTGCGAGCTGCTTGGTTACCTGGTGGGTAAGTAATGAGGCTGTGCTCACACAGCTAGACTCACAATCACCCTCAAACCCAGGCCTGAGTGATTCCAAAGCCCAGTTGATAATTGTTGTTATCAGCTGCCTTTGAGTCAGCCCCAACTCATGGCAAACCCACTCACAACGATGAAATGAAATGCTGCCTGATTCTGTGCCATCTCTGTGATTCGTTGCGAATCAGATCTTTGTGATCTATAAGGTTTACTTTGGCTGATTTTTGGAAGTTAATCACCAGGGCTTTCTTACTAGTCTTAGTCTGGAAGCCCCAATGAAACCTGTTCAGCATCATAGCAACATGCAAGCCTCCACTGACAGAAGAGTGATGACTGCAAATGAAGTACACTGGCTGGGAATCAAACCCACATGGAAGGCGAGAATTCTACCACTGAACCACCAGTGTCCCCAGCTGATAATCACCAGCTGGTCATTACTAAGCCACAATGCTACTTAACTCTCCAGAGCACTACTGCAGAAGGAAGAAGTCCAACATATGAACCAGGAGCCGATTATCCAATAGGCAACATAAGCACGGTGCTTACCTTGCTTACCAGATCATCTGTAGAGGACAATTTCACATTTTCAACCACATTAAAGATTCTGCTTATAGGTATGGCTGGCATCTGTCTCTCTTCCAACCCCACAGCACTTTTCCACAGAATCCACACCTCTTCTCAAATTTACAGTCCTTCAAAGGGGCAGATGACCCAGTGAGCAAGATAAGCGTAGGCTTACTTGTGTTTACTTACTACTCTGTGGTGAACAATTTCACATGGGTTTCACCACACCAAAGTTCACTACAGATGATCAAAGATGTGGTGAAACCCACATGAAATTGTTCACCACAGATGATCTGGTAAGCAAGGTAAGCACTTTGCTTACCTTGCCTATTGGATAATCCGCTCCTCGTATGAACCACACCTAAACATGACTTCCCTTTCTCTTGCCAGTCCAAATAATATTTCTTCCATTCTTCCCAGCTTATCAGCCTGTGTCCTTCTGGGGCAATTACATAAGAAATCGAGTTTTAAAAATGAGGCTGGCTTCCCATGGATGATAAAACAGATGGGATGCAGCTTACATTTATACTCGTTCTACACGGATCAAACAAACATTGATTAAATAATGCTGACTTGTCTTTGTGAAACATACCACTCATCCATCTGTATCTATGTGTCTAGCTGAACCGTTAACAACACACAGCACCGGCCATTATTTTAGGAGCTTGTCAGAATGAGAACAGGAAACTCAATAAATCAGAGTAACTACTGAAACGAGATGAGGTATAATAAGGTCTTTTATATTTAGGGGAAAAACAACCAAAACTGGCTGAGGGAAATCAAATTTCAATTATCCATGTTAATGAGGCAAAGATATCAGGGATGACTAAGACCCTAATTCTCCAAACCACTGAAGACACAGTTGCTTTGCCTGTTTCTTTCACTCTCGGCGTCTCTTCCTGTAACCCTTTTCAGGAGGATTAAAATGATCAGCGCAGAAAAGGAGCAATGCAGGTCTCTGCTGATACAGAAGG